GAAGAACAAAGCCATTGCTAGCTTCTCTAACGCTCCCCAAGGGCTCAGGGTGATATGCAATTCCCCTTCCCAGCATCATCCTTGTAGCTCAGAAGTTGGAAGAAAAAGCAGCAGCAAACCAGATATCTATCACAAGTGGTCTGTCCCTGCTCACACTTCATTGAGGAAAAAGTCTCAGGAACATCCTAAATGCTATAAATGGGCTATCCTCTAAAAAGAACTGGATGTTTTAGTAAACATACACGTCTGTTCAGCACCTTATGTCCCACAGCCTGTCCCAAGTTCAAAACGCGGCTTATTTGATACAGTCTCAAGCCCCCCAAAAAATCAGTGCCTCAAAGAGAGAGAACAACAGCAAGAGATAGTCTTCCTACAGAATACAGCTGCTTCATTACCTAGGCTGTTGCAAGCACTGTATTTCACCCACATAATTCAGTGCCTTGATACGTATTTACAATTACAGTGTAAAGCAGTGATTTCAACGTGTAGACCTTCTATATGACTTGGGGTCTTGCAGTACTGTAGCAGGTAAATTCATTTGTTTCTATTTTGAGAGACCGTTAAATATCATACTGTTCAAACCAGAACTGAGCAAACTCCATTTACTGTATCAGTGGAGTCCGTTTAATTTAAAAGCATGCCTCTTCTATTTGTTCTCCTGCCAGACTCTTAAGATGAGCTGTGACATTCAAGAGGGCAGTCCATAGACAAACATACCTTCAAGACAGTGACTCTGGAATTTGCTTTTCCTCTTAGGCCAGGATGATACAATTTCCTCCTCTTACCTCTGCTGTTGCTTCCTTTTTGTTAGGCAAGAACTGTTGCACCCTCCCAGAAAGATGCCCTCCACCTCAGCTAACCTAACCACTGGGCTGGATTCACTCTTCTAATTTTTCAGAAATTTATCAGTTACTCATTTTTTAGTAAAACAAACAACAAACCTATATAGTTGATGTTTGAGGCTTAAGTATTTCCCCTTGACGAAGTCTAAATCATACACCAATCAATATGGACACAAACAGTAATGCTAAGTAAGAAAACAAGCAGCATTAAAGTAGTATTTCTTGAGCTTAAGCTTCTTCTCTTTAACTATCACTCACAAAATGTTTCTGAAATGTCATAAAATGTACAAAATCCAGTGAAAAATTACATCGTTACCAAAACCACAGAACAGATCAAAAAGACCAAGCATCACATTCGGCAGAATTTGGTTTTACTATTAACTGCTACACTCAACGTTCATAAATGGATTGCACTGATAAATATTTTCACAGAACTTTTTAAATTTCTTTACTGAAAGAGTAGTCAAACATCGGAACAGGCTGCCCAGGGAAGTGGTGGAGTCACCGTCCCTGGAAGTGTTCCAAAAATGTGTAGATGTGGCACTTCGGAACATGGTTTAGTGGGCACAGTGGTGTTGGGTTGATGGTTGGACTTGATTATCTCAGAGGTCTATTCCAACCTAACGATTCTATGATTCTATGAAATTCAAACTGTCAAAACACCACCTCATCAAACAAAAAATAGAACTAATTAGGGGCCCATTAATCTAGATTCAGCTACTCCTTATACCTTCTACCATCATGCAAAAAGATTAGTTGCTTGTTAGGATTTTGGTATTCCTATTACACAATAGGTTAACATAAATTGTAAATAGTCTGTGAGTGGAGTAATCAAGAGCCATGTTCAATGCATTCTGTGACTTACTGCCTTTGCTGTTTTGTTGTCTGCTTATTTATACTCATTTTTGCAGTCTCAGTAACCTGCAATAGTTCTCTCAGCCATTGTGGATGCTTTTGCTTTGCCAAATTTTAGAATCCAACAGAGCTACTTAAAAATTCATACATATTTTCTACAATACAGCCTTTTCACAGCAAGCCACTTAAATGAAAAGCAAGGTGCTTCATAGAGAAAACAATATATCTCACCCCAGAGACAAAATTATAAACACACATGCATACATGTGCCATCCCAGCTACGTAAGAGAGATGGAAATTTAACAGCAGAATGATTCCCCTATAAGTCTAGGCACCCTCAAACCTAAACAAACAGCTCTCCCCTCTTCTCTCCAAAGACACATTCTTTCATTCCTGAAAGGTTAGTGATGTTTTCCAAGGGACCACTCAAACTCTGTAAGGATTTGTGCTTTCACTGTGCTCTCCCTTTGAGCAAAAAGTGCTCTTCAGCCCGAAAAGTCATCATTTATCCCTCAAAATCTTAAGCCCACTTCTTAAGGATATTTATATAGCATATTACTGGTAGATGCACCTATAGAATACATTGCTCTGTCTCTTGCTCTGACCAACTCATCCCACTGCAGAACCTAGGCCACCTTGAATGTACTAAGAGCAAATGGTAAGCACATCAAGTGCCTTACTGCAAATCACCACCCTATCACATCAGGAAAGCTACAGGAAAAAAGCAGAGTCAAATCCAGATGTGGGAAGAGTCAGCAACCACCACTCCATGCTGAAGCCCCTGTGGGCAGAGAGGGAAGATGCTACTGCTCCTAGTTTCCTCTCAGCAGGCTCCTTCACAGTGCAACTGCATTTTTTTAATCCCCTTGAGCCTAAGGAATAACAGGATCAGTCATGGAAAGAAACAGGTAGAAGATGAAAAACTGTATCATTCCTCTACCAATATAATCTCTCTCTTGCTTGCAGCATACGTCTCCAGCAGTAATCCCAATGGAATCTAAATCATGTATCCAAAAAGCCCCCTCTCCATACTGAGCTGAATCCATGGATCTTCTGTTTCTTGCAGCTTCTTTGGAGAATGACACAGTATGTTTTGTTCAGCAATTAAAGACTCCAAGGAAGACTGGGACCCTATCATCCTAGACAAAAGTGAAAGTAGCTGAGGTCCAAGGTGGAATGATACTTTGATGCTGAGCACTGTGATTAGGACATTCATCACTTTTCTGAGACTGCAAATTTTCCTGGATTCAATGCTTTTTCAAGCTTGTTTGTGGTAGGTTTTTAGGAAAGAGCAAAAATTAAATTTTGGAGAAATGACAAATACTAGATAGATCAAAATCCTATGCCAGACTCTGATCATACTTCTCATGTCTGACTATCGCACATTAACTCTGTTATGAAAAAATTACTCCTCCACCTATATCAAAAATGAAACCAGACTGAAGTATGTTTCATTTTCACGGAAAGGTTTTTCGATTTAAATTAAGGACAACTTCAACTGTTTGAAAAGTATCTCCTGTGATGCCATTTGAGGCTAAGACAATTATATGTAATTACATTCTATCAGACCGTCCTATGCATGTGCTTCTCTTTCCCAAGCAAGAACAGAGATGCCAGAAGTTCTACTGAGGCCCCAGGGATTCCAGGAAAGACAGAATGTCCTAAATAATAGTTTAGGTAAAATTCATAGAACATGCAGAGCTACTGTACAAGTAAGAGCCTGCCCTTCCCCCCAGCTATGGCAAAAGGGATGTTGAATGATGTTTGCACACAACCATGGTGAAAATAAGACAGCAACAGAAGAAGGATTTTCTGACCAAAAAGGCATGTCTGAGGGAAGTAAGAAAAAGGTGAAAGAAGAACCAACCAGAGCCCAAAAGTGTCGATGGAGAAGTGTTTCTGTGTCAACCAGAGCTCAACATGTCACTGTAGAAGGTACAGTTCTCTAACCATTGTTCAGAAGGTTTCCACATTCATTTATAAGTGGTGAAAATATGAACCCCCAGTACCCTGGGATGTGATGTAGTGAGCAGTTTCAACTGTCAGAAGTATGAGCCAATGTGGAAAAAGGCAGCTGTCTCCCAGCCTGGCTTACCACACAAGGGTTAGTGCTGCAGGTAGGAAAGCCCATGGGATCGCCCCTTCTGATGGCACCTGCACTCAGGTCAGCTTAACCTGCTCAAGCTGCAGGTTGGGAAAGGTAATTCCGAAGCACATTAAGTCACGAGTCCTGCTCTACACTACCAGTTTGCACATTTTTCAGTATTTCAAGTTCTCATTTCCTCAGGGCAATTGGGTTCTTGCAGTACTTCCTATTAACAGCCTTGGGTCACAAGGGGAACAAGATAAGAGGATGCAGCAAGTCAATTAGTGCGGTGCAGCTAACGGATGATAACTCACTAAAAGTTGCTTTTGCAACTCTGAGCTGAAAACATGTGGTAAACCAGGCTGTAACCATACACTTCTCTCAGAGAGCCCCTGTTCTGCTGCTCCAGATGTTTGCCTTCCTACGTCTGTAGGAGTTTCAGTTCTGAGACAAAATGTTGTCTGCTAAGTATCTTAAAAGAAGGAGAAGGACTGTGGACGACTTAAAAACTCAATAGTCTATATTATACTCAATTTCTTTTCTAAGGTATGGCTATGCTCTTTTCCTTCTTATTCTTTTCCACCAGAAACTGTAACACTTAGTTGTAAATCGAAAGATGGGGAATATATACATAAGTTATCTGGTAAGCTAGTTACATATGCCTCCCTAGAACAGCACTGAGACCTGCCTAAAAGATTTAATTATTGCTTTTCGTTTACTAAGCATCGAAATGATGAAAACAGAGCTGAAGTTCTTGGACGCTGGTCATTTCCCATACAAACTATACCACTCACACAGATTATTTCTGCTACATAAAGAAAGCAAAAAAAGAGGGAAAAAGCAAGGGTACTCACAACCAGAGATATTTTTCTATGACCTACCTACAAGTTACAGCCTGAAACTGGATCTTATTCAACTCTGACTAATTCTGAAGTACCCTCAAGGCTGTAAGCTGATCATGTAATTTAATTTGATTTTTGGTGACAGAAAATTCAAGGTAGGGTTATCAGAGCAAAAACAATTCAGAGGATTCTGTGAAACAAAGCATTCTGTCTATGTACTGCCTACTCAACGTTTATCCTAAATATATCTATCTGCATCCTTGCTTTTCATATATCCAGGACACTATTTTAGCCAAAACCAGAGAAAAGTGTTCAGTTTGCTTTTAAGAGGCTTAGTAGCACAAACTGCAAAGAAGATAAAACTATGAAACCTACTTTTTGTTCTGCTGTCCACTTCTATTTTTGTTGGCTCCTGAGTTGCTGCGGCTGGAGGTAATTTCTTCCCAACATTCTGAAAAAAAATAATTATTCTTCTTTAAAATTTGCAGGTTCAGTTAAAAGTTGGACAACATAAAAAATTGTAACGGAAATATAAAATATAGGAGTAGAAAAAGGACAATAAACAAACAGCGGCAAATTAAACTATACTTAGGTTTGGCTGTGGGGTTTTTGTTAGCCTTTTCTTTAAACGATAAAGAATTCATAAAAATGTGATCCTCAAATTTTCCCTTTAAAAAAATGTTTATTAATTTTTTTAAACAATAACCACCTAACACAGTTTCTGGGAAGACTCACAGAAGTTTCACTGGTGGACTGAATATGTGATGAAATTACTTAAGGAAAGATGCTATTCAGTACTAAAAGTAGAACTGAAAGAAGAGCCGGGGAAAAAAAACCCTTGACTTCTGTCCATACGAGGAGTGTTCACTTCAGCTCTTCTAGATTGAGTGTGATTTTTAAGCTGACAACATCTCTTTAACTGGTTCCTATTTTTATTTATTTTGAGCAAAAAATTACAGAGGAGTACTACAATAAGCAATAATCAGCATTAGACAGGTAAACTGAAAGAACAGTAAACATTATCTGCCTTCAACAACAAAATAAAATTGGTGATATTCAGCTTTATGTATCTTCACTAATTACTATACGCATGCTATGCCCTCCCTCACCCAGCTTTTCTCCCTACCAAGAAAGCTGTCTGGCTTTAAAATCCCAGCCATGTGTAGTTGAGGACGTAAGTGTAATTATTACTTGTTAATTATTACTTGTTAATATAGATACGAGTACTTAAAAGCCCTAGCTGTAGTTCAACATCCTTTTCTCGTAAGATATGCATAAACTTTACAAAACCTCCTCCATACTCCAGTGATCTTTTGAGTAAAAGCTGAGAGACAAGAGAGCTAAGATTTAGTCTTCAAGGCACTGAGGACCTCTTGGGGACCATAAGGAAAACACTGGTCAATATGAGAAGCAACAGGAGTACAGCACTTGAAGCAGTCGAAAAGCTTCAAGGTGTATAAAGTACATGAAGAGCTCCATATTAGTCATTTTGGACACTAACTGTATCAAAATTTATCTATGAGAAGGAGTAGGGTTTTTAGGCTGACAAAAAGAACATCTCTGGAAGAGATGTAGTTTTGAGAGTTGTGCACAAGACAGTCATCAAATTTGTGTTGACAAGTAAGACAAACTATGAATTGCAATACCCAAAAGTGTCTTGTTGCAACTTAAATTGCAAGTGGCAGCAGAAACAACTGACCTTCTGATGAGCAATCCAGAGATTGCTGGGCAAGAAAGATCAACCACAAAACTCTAAAGAACATCCCAACTTTGCTGAGGTGAGAAGGAGAGGGGAGAAGCCTTATCTGAAGCAGCAATTAAGGAGGTAACAAAAAACCAGGAGATGACAGACTCCTGCAAATCAGGAGAGGGCAAAACTAAGAAAAGAGCATGACTTGGCTGTGTCAAACAAGCTTAAAAGTCAAGAAGGATGATGATGAAGAGCTGCCTCTGAGATCTAGCTGGAAAGCAGTGAAAATTGTACTGGAAGAGAGGTAACAAAGACTTTGAAGCTACTAGGCATTCACACAGATAAAAGCACGGAATGTCTTCAAGATGAAAGCAAGACCGGGAAGACAGCTTTTAGTTCAGAGGCAAACAGAGCAGTTCAAGATAGCTACACATCTCAGTACATGCTCATTCATGATCAAACCTTTATTCACAGTTCTGCTTCATAAAATGGTTTGGAAAATGATGAGAGCACATACTCTAAATGGCACTCCTATTTCACTCAGAAAGAAATGCTTACTAAAGGAATATCCAAAAAAATTAATTTAGAGAAGTTTTTCTTTTTTTAAAGATGAAATTATTATTCAGGAACAATTAATTAAAGAAAAACATTTGATTATTGCTTTATCATACATGAACCATTGATCTTATGCCATGAAATCAAAACCCAGATAAACCCACAACAAGCTGAAACTGAACAAGCTAAAAATCACAGCAAAAGAATCGTAGACAAAGAGGAAGAAACAGTGTCTCCCAGTGGGAAGGGCACGCTGCAGTGTAATTTCTTAATTTATAGAAGCAGATGCAAGTACAATGCTTGAAAACATTCTTTCATCTGCTTGTTCAGAACAAATGCCTGTGTAGGTGATAAATCAGCATGGGGAACCAACTGACTCCTTGGGAACAGAAAAGAGAATATCATCCAAATGAGGCTCTTCTTTTGCTGGAAGCTAGGATACAGCTAAAAAAGTAGTCTTTGCATGAGTTGTAATTTGTACAGGAGAGAAGGTAAAAAGCCCAGGGAACAAAGCGGCTGAAGACATGACTTTTTTTGCACATATAGAAATAGACTGAGCAATGAAACAAGAAGCTGGACTCCTGACAGGTCTACTGATAGATGAAGAGGAGTGCAAAACTGAGTGCAGCACAAGGAACATGCTGAAAGATCACAGTGACCTACAAGATCCAAAGATCATTTATTGCAGAATAAGCAAAGTTGTCCCAGAATTTTGTGATGAGGAGAGGAAGGAATGTTTATGTCCACTAGGAGGATACAGAAAATCATAATAAAAGGGCAGATTTAGATTAGATATTAGGAAGAAATTCTTCACCGTGAGGGCACTGAGACACTGGCACAGGTTGCCCAGAGAAGCTGTGGCTGCCCCCTCCCTGGCAGTGTTCAAGGCCAGGCTGGATGGGGCTTTGAGCCACCTGGTCTGGTGGAAGGTGTCCCTGCCCATGGCAGGGGGTTGGAACTAGATGGTCTGTGAGGTCCCTTCCAACCCACACCATTCTGTGGTTCTACGATTCTATGAAGTAATTTAAGCGAGAGTTGTGCAGAACCCACTCCAGTGAGAAGGGATGCCTGAATTTGTTGTGGGACAGGAAGAGGAGAAGACAACAGACTGGTTAATTGTAAGGGGACTGTACTCCAGGATTTATAAGGGTGACACAAGCATCACTGACAGGAAAAAAGAAAAAAAAAAAAAAGGAGACGGCAGGCAAATCTGGTTTGAGACAGACCTGTGCTGCCAAGATGTTTTACACCTCCTGTAAAATGGTACTAAAGGAGACTTTTTTTTAAAATTATTATTTATTTATGTTTACAATTGGTCTATACTGATCCATCCATATGCATGGAAAACATGTCCATGAAACTTAATATAGCACTCATTTGTTCGTTAGGAAACACATAAGATAAATTTCCCTCACTCTAAGAGGCGCTGAATCCTCTATGATCTGTTAAGTCTGATTGCTGTGCTTTAACAGGATAAAACCTCAAGTACAGCTGAGATCTGTGTGCTGGGAGTCCCAGATCAAGTAATACTATCACAGTTACCAACTTTTCTGGCAAGAAAAGAGCAACGGAAGACAGACACATCTCCTCCCATATGAGCCAGAATCTTTCCTTCTGACTCCCAAACTGTTTTGCATCACTCATACTCCCATACAAATTTACTAGTGGCTGGCAGAACCAAGCAAGCTGAACTTAAATTCTTGTTGATCCAACACACATCTCCATGACACAGACTTTTCTCCTCAGGGACTAGGTTACTATAGGGTATTTTGGTCTCTTCTCCAGTTGAAGGCCCAGCATAATTTATCAAAATCTCCTTCACTTCTAAAAAAACAAACATGGGAGCAAAGAACACTCTAACTGGGTTGAACTGAAGATTCAAATACAATTCTTTCTCCTCCTCTGTTCTTCCTTTACATAAGAAGGTCGTCAATTTGGAAAAAAACATCCTCCAAGACCTTCTATACACACTGATCTATACTGCAAAATACTGATAATACAACTCCAGCTTTTGAATTACTTAGTCTTTTACCCAATTCATTCCTACCTATCAGGCTCAATATTCCCAAGAAGCAAGCAGATCTTACCCCTTTGGGACACAGGCACAAAACAAGATTTACAATTTGAAGGACTTTTGTGGAATTAGACACTTCAAATCAGTATCCTCAACCCTGCCAGCATGCCCTGACATCTCCCAGTATGAACTCTCTCTCTCCATTTACCTAACTCTCTCATTTTGTCTGTAATGTTTGCAATAGTCACACACAGCACGAACCAGAACACCCATAATGACGCCCTCCCAGCCGTGTCTTAATCGCCAGGCTGCAAAGACAAGTTAAGTTCTGCATTTTCTCTCTGGCCCTGCGTATCTTGAATTCTTGGCTGCAGAATGCTTTCAGCACCAGCAAAAAGGGTAGCATATTCCCCTCTGCCTTTGTATCTCTAACCTGGTGGTTCAGAGACACTCCTGAAGAGTACCTTTTCAGCTTCCCTCTATCCTCCTCCAGTACGCTGATTACCATAAATTTCATTTCTAGATGATGGTAGTCAGCCTTGTTCCACTCACATTACTCTGCAGATATCACTCTGACTTGCTTAGTCCTGTCACAAAAGAAACGTGGTGGGAACAGAGTTCCTGTTTCCTGACTCCAAGCCTAGATGGACTCCCAACACACAACAGAACATAGCAACAAAACAGGCAGAATCTTGACTCCACTATTTCTGCAAGGCGAGTATAATTAGATTATTTAGCTGTCAGACACAAATCCCCCTAATCGCCCGACAAGTGAATCCTAAAGATGAAAGGGGGTGAAGTGCCCTCTTGCTGCAGAAACAGCTGATAAAAGCATGAATAATGACCATGATTTGGTGCACAGATATTCAAAGGGATGAGACAGATTTAACAGCAACCTGACATTAATGCTTGGTTTTACGAAGGCAACAGAAGCACAGCCTAGCATTAAATAACAGGTTCTGTTAGCAGAAGAGGCCTTGATGGCAGTTTGGTACACTGCAAATCCCTATCACTGCAAACCAGTTTCCTCTGACACTGAATTAACAATGATTACAAAAGCGCCTGAGGTAGCACACAAAGTCATGCGAATGAGGTCATGGTACAATCTAAACAGTTTAATTTCCCTTCATTTATGTATTTTGGCTCAACTGCAATCCCCGTATCAGCAGAGAACAACACATGAGAAGCAGAG